AACCTCGTCACCGGCTCCATCACAAGAGAAAGTGTGAGGAAGGCACTCGACTATGGCATTACCGCGGACCAGATCATCAGTTACCTCGTCACGCACGCGCATCCGCAGATGCACAAAAACGTTAGTCCGATTTCTCCCCTCATTTTAATATCCTTCATCTATGCAGGCGTACTGATGTCCCCTCGCCCATTAGAACCCACTTCTCCCCATTACAGTACAGGACCAGATCCGGCTGTGGGAGCAGGAGAAGAACCGGGTCCGAGTCTCTGACGGATACCTCTGGAGAGACTTCACCGCTCTCACCGATTACAAGCTCGTGCTGGATCACGCTCGCAGCATAGACAGCGTCATCTGGGAGAACGAGCAGGCGAGGATGTTCTTCGTCACGCCTGATGGGCACGACGACTGCAGAAAGTACGTGAAACGGAGGATGGAGGAAGGCGGTGGTTTCGCGTGATGAGATGGATGGGCTTGTTGGCAACCCACGATGGTGGGGGTAGTTGTTCTTATCTCTCGTCGACGGCATTAGGTTGAATGCCTGGGTCCGTACTTTGAGAGCTACACGCATTAGATGTATTGTAACAGATAGTAATCCAAGATAACGCATGGTCTCAAAACCAGCTGGTTGTTCGACAACGAAGTGCCTTTTAGAAGATGAAGGGGAACATGACCCATCTCTTGGGGTATTCCTTCCCGAATTCCTTCTTGTAGTTCTTGTGCTTCTTGATCGCCCAGAAGACCATTTGAACGGTGCCAACGACAAGGAAGATTGCCACTACGAGGAGTGGTGTCTTTCTCAGTAGGGGAATTGGGGACGTGGAAAGGCCTTTCACGTACCTGCGGGGTCCCAAGTGAGAGCCAGGACGGTGGTCCAAGCAAGCGTCTCGAAGGTATAATTCGGGCAGGAGATGGAGTTGAAGCCGTACCCGTATGGGATGGCGCGCTGGCGAGTGCCTGCTGGACGGAGGTTGCGGAGGGTGATGTGGCAAATGAGGTTGGATAGTTCGGCGAACTGTTCGGGTGGTCGAAGTGAGCGGGGGTAGATCTTCGAAGAAAGCTAGCAGGATGGTATGCGAGGGAGGATACGTACAGCCCAGACTGCGGTGAGACCCTTCAAGTACAAGCTGTTGTCTCGGAGAGTTCCGCTGAGATTGGCAGCGGAGTACCACGGTGCGAAGGTCGACCCGCAGAGGAGCAGACCTGTTAGATTACAAGCATCTCAGTAGGCACACTTTGTGAGTAAGACTTGGAGAAACGCACCGCTGAGTAGCCAGTAGTGTGCGGAGCTAGCAGAGATAATGTTGAGCATTGTCGATCCCCATGCGAGTACGCTCGAGCTCACTCACTTTTTAATGATGTTGAACGCTGGCATAGTGGCATGCGAGAAACGGTGGACACTGGAAAGCCCTTTCAGTACGCAAATACTGGCGACGTGTAGAGGACGGTCGGCTCACAATACGGTTTCAAATTCGCGCTTCAGGTAATGCAGCATTACCATCGAGTAAACGAGCCTAACGAGAGTATAATTATTAAGCTTCAGACTTCGGAGCAGACCTCCAGAGCTTACGTTTGCATCTCGGAGTGCTTAAACGCTCCTTTGCCGTAGAGTTGGGGGCAGTGGTAGAACAGCGGCGCAACGAGGAGAGGTCCCGCCTACCAAGAAAGATATTTTGGTGAGCTCAAAAGCGCAACTGGCATAGCGCAGATAGAAACATACGTATTCCACCATGTAGACCGTTCTCCAGCTGATTTGCGGACCGAGGTCCTTGAGGAACAAGGTGACATTGTCGGTCAGGCTGCCAATGGTGCGTTCGTCGTGCAAAACCTCTTTGGAGGCGAGACTAAGCCTCTGACGCGTTACAGGGAACTAATCAGAAGTAATTGATCTTAGAATGATGCCGACGATGGCCGAAATTCACGACGAACGCGAGGGAAGTGACGGTTGATGTCCTTTTTGACGTCAGCAATCGTGTCGGTCGGCTGGAATGTCAGCGACATTGGGAGAGCTTTGGCGGTCGGGATTTTCTTGCCATTGGCGTAGTCGATTTTCACGGTAGGCATCGTGGAGAAGTAGGTTCAAGTGAGAGGTGTACAGCGTTCAAGTCGTGGTCGGGAAAGTCGAGAAGTAGCGGATGCAGTCGAAAAAGTACGGTCCAAAATACAACAGGGTCCTCGGTAGTGGTACGCCCGGAGTTCGGGAACCGAGACCGCACGTGCTCCCCCGTTAAGCCGACGCCTACATGATTTGAACATGTGCGAGAGGTCCAACTAATCCCTGCAGACAGTCCGAGTGTGTTGCCTTAACCGCTCTGCCAAAGCGTCTCGAGTTTGTGGGTTTAGCATTCTTGGCAGGGCGTTTCAGGGACGGAGACCCTTGCGGAAGTTTCGACGCCGACTGATCACTGCAACCACGTCCCCCTCGTGCGCATCAAAACGGCATGCGATACACACTTGAGAACACACGACAATAACGAAGAAATAAGCCAATTCCCGCCACTCGCTTATTTTAAAACTCTCCAATACCCACAAGCAGTCTCAACTTAACATCCCTCGAGCCAACTCTCAGGATGACCATTGCATCTCAGCCTCGTCGATCGTGGCGCCGACTTACGCGTATCATTATCATTTTCTCCGTTTCTCTCGTATGTTTGTACTATTACAACCGACCACAAAACGACACGTCCACTCTCAAGGTCGACAAGAAGACTCAACCAGGCCCCAAAGCTAAAAGCGACACATCGACCCCGCTTCCAAAAGCCAAAAGGCCACCACCAGGTCCACCACCAGAACCTCGATATCAGTGGACGGAGCTTTGGGAGGCTAAACCAGATGGCAAACTCGTCGTTCCCATTGACGAGAGTGGGAAGGCCGTCCCAAAGACTGGCTTTGCGAGGCATCCACTCCTCGATCTTGTCGAAGAGGGCGAAAAGAGATGGGAGGAGAGGCTTCAACGGTGCGCTTTGACTGCACCTGTAAGCTGTATTAAAAAGTGCTCATATTTTAATTGCAGTCAAAGTAAGACCCTCGATGAGGCGGTTCGGGAATACGTTCGCCGGTACGGACGCCGCCCTCCGAAAGGTTTCGACGCTTGGTTCTGGTACGCCTCGGAGCGCGGTGTCAAGTTGGTCGACGAGGTAAGTTCTCCTTTTGATCGTAGCTTAGCTGTTGTTCGAAGCCTAACTGATGTCTTTTACTTCAGTTCGACGCCATCGACCGAGACATCAAGCCGTTCCTCGCCTTGGCACCCAAACATATTCGAGAACGTCTCGCCAGCGCTGCCAAACTGCAAGACACGTACCACATCAAAATCGTCGACGGATACGCCGACATCGCAGCCGCAGCGGACTTCGAGGAGCAGTTCAAGGCGCAGGACCTCGTCGAGCTCATCTCCGAGTTCGCAGAGTTCCTGCCGAACATGGACATCCACGCCAGCAAGCACGACATGGGGCCCAACATCTTCGGCGACGACTTTCGAGCTGAAGTCGAGAGGCTGATCAGCCAGAGAGACTGTGAGTGGTGTTTAGCCTCTCTTGAAAAGTTGGGAGCCGCTTTCAATGGGTTAAGTAACCTGCCTCTCGCGCGATGTAGTCATGTCCGCCAAAAACCTGACCCGTTTCGAGTGGAAAGGGAGAAACGACCGGTTCGGGCTCAACAAGGCATGCTTGGACGACGCTCCGGCTGTTCTCGAGGAAGAACGAGGCCCCGTCCAACCTGCAAATGAAACTTGTAAGCGCACCGGGGTACAACTTAACAACAGCCTAATTAACTATACATGTTTCACCTCTTCTCTTCCACAAGTCGAGTTTATCTACTCCCACGGAAAGACGTACGACTTCTGCCAAAACCCTTCCATCCTCCGCAACAACGGGATATTCTCCATCAGCCACGCGCGAGAAAGTCAAGTCCTTCCGCTCTTCGTCCAATGCAAGCTCCGCCAGGGCGGAGACCTACAGTACCCCTCTTTAGTGCAGTGGCAGGACCCTCCTCTGCGCGGGACCATGATACCATGGCGGGAGCGGCCGAACAGCAAGCTGTTCTGGCGGGGGAGGATGACCGGCGCGCATTATAACAAGCAGTACGGGTGGAGACATACTCATCGGTTTAGGTTACACGAGTTGGCGTGGAACAAGACGTTTGCGGACGATGAGGTTGCCGTGCTCGTTGAGGAGGATAGGAAGGGGCAGAAGGGGCTTAGGAAGAGGGTGTTCAAGAGGAAGGAGTTGAACGACGCGCTTTTGGACGTCGGACTCGTTGGGTGAGCTTGGTATTGGACGTGATAGCTTTGGCACAACGAGGTCTGACGGATGCTTTTGCTCGTTCGGGGCAGCGGTGTATTCCAATGTGACGGGGAAGACGGGACCTGCGCAGAGATCGAAAAGTCGATCAAGACTCTGGACCCCCTCTTTGGAGGCGGTAACCTCGCCAAGTACTCTCTCGACGTTGGTCAGT